ATACTGATATAAGATAGAAATATCAAATTACTATTCACCACAAAATGAGCCACTTTCCGGTATAATCTTTTTAAGGTAATTGGTATAACAATAGTTATTGGTGGTGATTAGAAGCTGATATCAATTTCGTTTTAGAAAGGTTCTAACAATGTCATAACGATGTTTGCATATATATGTATATAAACAATATAATATCTATATAAATATAAAAATTAAACTAAAAACCATTTTAAATGAATTTTATTTTATAATTCTTGGCTGTTTATATTGCATTTTTTGCATTTTAAGTGCATATTTTACTGCATAACCTAACCTTTTGACATTTTTAATGCATTTTTTAAGGTTTTTTAGTGCATTAAAGTCGTAGCCCTAGTAATAACTAAAAACTTATTAATAATGAGTAATAACTAATAACTTTCTGACTCCGTCTTAATGTAATATAGGCAATAGCCACGGAAATCATAAGTTGCCTATATGTTTCACCTTAAAAACGATTTAATTAACTTGAGAATATTATATTATAATATTATATATAACTTTCTTCTATAATTATTATTATAGCTATAAAGATGACATGTTTACATTGAAGATGTCGACCATATTTCTGTACGTATTTCGATATTCTAATTTTACCAAAATATTATTTACTTATTTCCATAATTATTCGATGTTGTTTTTAACTAAATTTATAAATATAAATAAAACAACTGGTATTGCGCAGATTAATTATTTATATATTATTGTTGTCTAATTCACCTTCAATACTCAATTGCGTTAGCTTTTTTTTTTACTCAGAAAAATGTTTTACATAGTCAAATCAAATAAATACATGCATTGGTACCTAATAGCATTAGAACAAAGGTTTATTTTGAAAATATCTTCATGTTTTGGAGTTTTGACTTTGAACAGATGTTCAGTGCATTGAATCCACAACAGTACTCATTTTCAATGTTTGCCAGCGCCTATCACTATATACAGAGTGATTTGCCAAGCATACTCAACCCTTTTATATTACAATAATGCTATTATTTGAAGTCTGGTATCCTAGAATTTTCAACTTAAGGTAAATTTTAAAGACCATCATTGTAATGTTCTGTTGCGAATGGCATACATTCAAAATCATATTACCTACACAAAAGACTATTTTTGCATGTTGGATAGTATTTCGATTGAAAACAATTATTGTTACAACCGAAGGCCGTACGAATGAAACAAAATAATATTTTAACAGTATGTTTGAATGGAACTCATTAAATAACAACACAAAAACGGTCCACAAAAAATTCTAATTTGTTGTATCGAGTTGTTGGAAATTTAATCGTAAAATGTAGTACTGTCCGGCTGCAGCATGCTGTATCATTTACGGTCTTAATAACACAACCTACGCAAATTTCCACACAGTGTGTCAGTATCTAATTTAAATTTTGCCGCACCTCTGGTTATTTTTATGTTTGTCGGTGTACAAACAATGTATTATTATATTATTAATAAATCGTAAGTGAAAAATAAAAACAAGATATAATTTAGTATTATTCCGACTTCCGGAGACGATTACCGTCAATAAAAATAACTCATACCTGTACAATATTAATATACATTTTAATATTTAATTACAAATGGCTTACAGGTATAAATTAAACCCATTCAAAATAATTTTCAATTTACAGTTTAGTACACTGTACAGTGTACAATGTACATGTTTATATATGATATTACATAAGTACTAACTCTTTAGTGTGCCTCAATTCATGGGCCAATCGGTATCGGTGCACCTCGCTCTGTGCACCAATTCGACCAAGATGGGTAATCCTCCCCAATGACGAATTGGATATAGGTAGAGTTCGGGTTTTTTTGTTGAGGTTGTGAAAATTACTCTCTAAACTTTTCTGACATCTAAGTACAATCCCTGAAACTTTTGTCAAAAGCGGTCGAGTATTTTTTAAGTCTATAAGTTAGAAACATTATAAGGACGTTGCCTTTTGACAAACGGCTGAATTGCAAACAATACGTTTAAAATGATTTTCTTTTTTTTTTTTTTTAAACACATAGTAACATTAGTAATGCATAAGGGTCGGATAGACAATACCGATTTTTTTCAAATGTTATTTCTATATAGCCAATTGAAACCCTGTAGGTATACATAGACAGAACAATTCTTCAATTTTTGTGAGCCAACTTAAACAACCTAAAGGTTTAAAATAACCTACGAGTCTCAAGAATCTGTAAATATTTTATATAACTTTTTATCAAAATCGATTCAGTAGTTTCTGAGATTAGCTGTTATTAAAAACTCATTTCACATTTGTATGATGCATATAAGATAGATAACTGAGCAGAACTCAAAATGGAAAAGGCGAGGGTATGTGAGGGTCGAATCTAGGACAAAATATCCAAGGAAAAAATATCCTGTACTAAAATATCCAAGGTTAAAATATCCAACGGATAAAATATCCAGGGATAAAATAATCAATATACGGGACAAAATATCCAAATAAAAAAAATCATAAAAATGTATTATTAATACTCATATAATTTTTTTTATTTAAATTCATTATATTGTTCATTTTTGAATCACTTTTTAATATCATTTAATATCAATAATACTTTATAATACAGTAATAAAATAATAATAAAAATAATATGTTGCGTTATATATAATAATTATATCTTTAGTTATAGGAATTGTGTATTACACTATATCATATTATCATCTAAAAGTTTTTAATAATATTTAAAAAAAATTGTTTAAAAAGAGGCAATAAATTATCGTATTATATTTGCTATTGCAATTAAAAAAATATCTAATTCTTTTTTACCATTAATATATTCAAGACAAAGGAGCTTAAGTTTTATTATTATTTTTACTATTATTATCTTATTACTATATGTCTATATTACAAAGTATTATCAATGTTAAATGTGATTTAAAAATGAACAATGGATCTAGAGAAAAAAGGGGGGAAAAATATTTTTTTTTATTTGGATATTTTGTCCCATATATTGATTATTTTATCCCTGGATATTTTAACCGTTGGATATTTTAACCTTGGATATTTTGACTTGGATATTTTAGTACAGGATATTTTGTCCCAATACCGTGAGGGTCAGAGGGTGACACTATGTAGATTAAATACGGTTTTAATGTTTTATTAACATACATGTGAATTCGAGATCTTAGCATCTTGGGTAATGATTTCGAATTTGTTAAGAGGATTTGTCAGCGGACATTTTGTTTTCTTAGCTCTTTGACCCACTTGCAGTATGGTAGATTTTCCTTAAAGATAACCAACCTTGTGTTGTTAGCTTAAATGTTAAGCAAATTGACTTATATTTTAACTTTAAGTTAAGAACATTGTCTGTATTTGTACGTTGGATTTTTATGATATTTAAATTTTTTCGATGTTGCACATTTTTAAACTAATATTTTACATACTCGAAATTTGCATAAACATGTAAATATCATAAAAATACAAAGTAGAAACACAGACAAAGTTTTGAATTTTACGTTTTGCAATAGTTCAATAATGGTACACTTTTATATTAAAACTAACAAAACAAGATCGGTTCCACTGAAAGTAAGTTTGCCACATTGCGGGAGAACAAACAAAATATAGTGCGCTGATATTATCCACTTAAAAGCTTTTATCCTTACAGTTAAACTTATTAGTTTAAATTGTGATATCTTTAAACATACATAACAATATAAAAATAATCGGTATTTAATCAATTAAAGGTTAAAGATACTTTATATTATATTTTTCAAATATGATGTATAATATTATGACACGGCGGTAATTATTAGTAATGGTAATTGTAAATAAATAATGCGTTTGGGTGAAACCATGAGAAAAAATAATAAAAATTATTTTAGTAGTATTCATAGCAAAAATGTATTGCATTTTCACTCTTTTTCATTTAACCGAGAGTTATATGTACCTATATGTTTAGAAATCAGTTAAAAAATGAATCTTGCACAAAAAAAAAGTGCTTATAATAAAATATATTGTTCACATTTTTCGATATTATTTAACCAGCAGTTTTTTTATAAATATGTATATTTTTTTAATACGCATATTTTATAATCAATTTTTTTTGCTTGTAGCATAAAGTTAGCTACAAGCATATATAGCCCTAAATAATGAAAAGTTGAAGCCTTGAAGATAAACATTACACTTCCAGAATTAAATAACACATTTACACATAAGTAATAACATATAGCTTGATTTATTGTACCAAATTTAAAATCAGGTCTAAAATTAAATCCAATGAAAATACAAAAAAAAATATTAATTTCTTCTATTATTAATATAATCTGTAACCAATGGCAACCATTTATAAGTAAAAATAAATTACAATTTCCACAGTGAATCCCAAAATCCTTGTTTAAGGACCTATTTAAAATGCGAATTTCGGAAAAACCTTTTCGAACCTTTCTTATTGGGTCCCTACTCTACATCATAAAACGAAACAACTGACCAAATTTCATACTTATACCTTCAGCGGTTCCGTAAAGGCGATGATGAATCAGTCAGTCAGAACTAGTTCTTTTACATACATATATAATGTAGACAGTATGCTTATATGGTATGTCTCAGTATCTGTACTCGGTATGGGCAATGGATATGAAAAATTCGGAAATTCTGATTACCAAAAAATTATTGTCAACAACATTATCTTATTACGCATCATTATAGAAAATTAACATAAAGTTTACGTATCATTAACATAAATAATGTCGTCGAACACGGCAAAACGTATATTTTTATAAGCATTTCGTGGGCTTGTGCCTTGTTTACGGATAGCTAAATAATGTAGAAAAAGCCCCCTACTCACTCGACGATGACCTTCGTATGGTATATTATTGATGACGCGCGGAAGTAATAATATTTTTTTTTTTTTAAGAACATTGCACCATCACGCTATTATGGGTAGCTGCTATTACGGTGTGTTATTTTAAGGCGAAAAAGCAGTATTACAACAATAATCGGTATTTATAAACAGCTGATCCGCGAACAGACATAGTCCCGGCGCATAAAGTTGAATCGATGTCCGATGACAAAAAGATCGCGCGCAAGTTGGCAGACACCAAACGTCTAGAAATAGATCATTTTGTTTGCCGCGGCAGTTTGGTTTTCGTGTTCGCGTGCATTCCAACCTTCGAACCGTGTTTGAGGCATATAAAGTCTTTAGATAGGTACAACAGGTAGTGCCGCCGAGTTCGATATAAACGCTTTGGACGCTGAAAAGTTATAATATTGCTGAAAAATGACGAAAACCACCGAGGAAGCTGGATACGATCTCGTCCAAGTATGTCGCCACCACCAACAATTAATAGATTACCTATTATTATTATTATTATTATTATTATTATTATTACCATCGTCATGAACACGGTCTGTTTTTACATGGATTGACTTTTCAATTTTTTTCAAACTCAGTTTGTGCGTTCCGGAAAACGTATAATATGCGTGTCAAGAAATATTTAGTAATTATTTTTTGTTGTAAAAGAACTTCCAATATACCTATACTAACCATTTTTATGAATACAGTAACAAGTCGTAATTCGTATAGGTCATAGGGTTTTGTCCAAATAGATAATAATTTATGAAGCACTGTACATGAAAATAGAAAGAAAAGGAAGTGTAGGTACACTTACATTTTTAAATCACTTTAAGACTATATATCTAGAGTTGACTTTAAAATTGTATTCAACTCCGTTAAATAATGATGTGAACAGCATTTTATTGTGTTAAATTACAGTAAAATAACTTATAAACTGCAGGGTTCTGATTCTATATAGAATTGCTATAGCTTTTGCTAACTATTATAGAATAAATATAAACAGAGTGATCTATACATTTATTTTATAATATGTCAATATGATTTCAAATATAAAATTGTATATTGTACATACATTTTAAGCATTATAGATTTTTTAGTTATTGTTTTTCAAGTTTATGTGATATTTTTTTTAAAATATACATTAAATTTATTTGATTGTACCTACCTAAAATTTGAATGAAAATAGAAGAAAAAAATTATGTATGAATATCTGAGAAAAACACCAACATTTCATTTCATTAAGACAAAGTTTGAGTTTATATTTTATATTGATCAATAATTAATATATATATTATTAATTTATATATTATATATTAAATTATAAATTAATTTTTAAATTTTTAATACAAGATAAAAATTTCAATTTTTTTAAATGAATAAGTTTTTATGGTTTATATATTCTTAGGTCATACTACTCATACTATAGCTTATGTTTCAATACATTTCAGTGCTTTAAAACCTGAGCCCTGCTAATAAGTAATAATACTACACTTTTCTGTACGACTGTACCTATCATTTAGTTGTACTTATCATGTAAACTTAAGTACATAGTTGAAGTAGTTATATTGTATGTATTTTGTAAATAATAAAAAAGATTATTAAAATGTATATAAAATTAAAAATCTAATTCACATAATACATTATGTATTTATTTTTTGTAGGCTTTATTGAAATTTCACGATGGAACCCACGGTGCCCGAGACCGCATGGTTCATAAGCCCGGATGGAAAATGCTTTTTATGATGCTGAAATATTTAAACTGCTACCCGGAATTAAGTGAGTGAGCCAAAATCTGTACAACTCGTAGGAATATCAAACGCAAAAGAATATTCCTAAAAATAGGTGTTTAAAATTGAAAAAAAAAAATAAACACCTATATTTCTTATTTCTTAGTGATATTATTTTACATATCACTGTCACAATCGTGTATAAGATTAAGATATGACGTGATAGTGAAAATAATTATTATATTACCATAATATCGTCGACTGATATAAAAATAATTGATTTTAAAATTATAAAATTATAAACAAAAAAAAGCATTATTATAATATACTTTCATCGTCGATGAAAATACTGCAATTTAATGAACAGTATTATAATTTTTTTTACGATGAATGAATAAAATATACATTTAAGATTTATTCTAACACACCTTTTTTGAACAAAAAAACAGTTTAGCGTGGGAAATAACAGTTGAAGGCTAAAAACACAGTTGACTAACCAAAATACGTTTAGTTAAGTTTCTTTTCTTTAGTTGTACAAGTTGTTGAGCGTCTTTTTTAATAAGCATCTCGAATTTTAACTCCTAATTGTGTTATACTTTTATTTACAAATTAAATAAAAATATATTGACTATAAAATATTATGAACTAAAATACACAACAATGCATTTAAGTATTTTAAGTAATTGCAGTGCTGTGACAGTAAAATTACTAATGAAAATCATTATGTTTATTCTTCTTATAACTTTATGCAGTTATTAATAGCCCTCATATGGTATTATAACTATTCCTTGATCATGATTATTTATATTAGTTAAATGTATTGTTGTGTTTGTTGTGTATGAATAAACAACACATTTACTCACAGCTATTTGTTGTGAATTTAAATAACATTTAAATGTTTGAATTTTGTTCCACAGCTTTCTTGCCTTATCAGTTGACTCCGATTATACTGGAAGTACCACCAGAATATCGTCAAATTGTCTTGAAGAATCCTATGATCGTTAGAAGACGATATGTAGAATTATTACCTATAAAATATGGGTATCGAGAATTTTGGAAGACTCATATAAACCGTTCGAGGGCATTGCCTTATCAATATTTATTGTGGGAAGGCGGTTTCGTACTGATTGTATTTTGTTTTTACGCCATTGGTTAGTAAATTTAACTACAAATGATATTTAGAACTTCACTTCACTTATCACTAGAAGTAAATTTATGTGATTCTTTATCGAAGTACGAATTACAATTTGCAGGCGATAATGTCATACGTGTAGTAAATATCACAATACATTTTTCAAAAAAAGACGTACAACCCGAGCCCTTGTGCTATCAAGATAAACTCATGCTGGAAGAGGTGAATAAAATAATATTTATACTCAATTAAACTTTGAAAATTATTAATATAAACATAAATTGTATAATATTTACTAATTTCAGTGTTATCCACTGGATACGTTCAATCCCGGATTTGCATTACCCAAACCAATATCGATCAACACGAACAGGTAATTTGTGTTAAAGATATTTTGTACATCTATAAACTAAAAATGTAATTAAATTCTGGTGTACTATTATGAATTGTCAATAAAGGTGGACAATTCTGCGAGAGTTAAAAGAATCCAGTGACAAAAAAGGCAACGAACTGTTTTTGCTGTCGCTATCGCCTTTAATGGACGAATTGTCTGACGAAGTGCTTACGGACACCAGGCGCAAAATGTTAGAGCTGTTGGAAGAAGCTATGAGTTGGAAAAGAAATTTCGATCGTTAGAATGCAGCGGCGATCGTGTCCTCGTATTTCAAGACGTGTATACTCTGTTTAAATTTAAAAACGTTTGAAAACATATTTTTAGTTATTTATAATAATTAGTATTATGTATACACATACCTATTAGTATGAGTAAGTATTTATATTATTTTATAAAACGTTCCCGTTATTCGATTGCTTATTACAGACCTCATATTAGTCATTATTTATTTATTATATACACCTATAAATATAATATGGGTAACATTTAAGCTGTAAAAGTCATGTAGGTACCTATTTTAATAATTGTTTTTTTAAAATACTTCTGTAGTCTTATGATCATAATATATTACCCTACATAATATTATTATTACTTAAGTATAGTTATATTATAACGATTAAACGATTGGTTAATTAAATATAATATATAATAATAATACGTTTAGACGTTTGTCTTTAATTATGGCTATGAAAATATCAAGTTGCCGGGGTTATTAAAAGTTTACTATTCATATCGTATTTATGATGATATTTTATACCTGTACAATTGTACACACATTTAGCATGTCAAACATTATTATGATTAAAATTATCTTCGTTTTGTTTTTAAACTTTTTTTTAACTAACGTGGTGACATCGGAAGGAAATGTGTCAAATTATGAAAACAAAGGTTTTGTAGCCAACGGAGAAATATACGACACCGAGAAATATCCGTTCGTAGTGTGTATATTGATGATGAAAGTCGGCAGGGAAAGCATTCTGGGAAAGTCTTTATGCACGGGCTCCTTGATATCGCAGTGGTTCGTGTTGACCGCAGCACATTGTACAGTTAAAGTGGAAAAATATGACATAGATGTATTTTTGAGCTTACACCCGTTATATGCGATTAAAACTATGTACCTTATTACGAAAAGTTCCATAACGTTTACAGGTATACCATGATAGTGACCACCGACGTGTCCAGCGCGTGTATCGACACAGTATGTATAATCCCAAAACGTTTTCCGCAGACATCAGTTTGTTAAAAGTAAGCACTCTGGCAGTCTCGCGCTGTTATATGTAAATATATAATAATAATACTATATTAATATAAATAATATTAAAACATTATTGTAATATCATGACGTGTAGCTAGGCATATTTTCCTTGAGAAATCCGGGGTTTTTTCTACAAAAATGTCATATAATATATAAAATAAAATTATAATTTATACTTACAACCTTCCTCAATTTCACCAAAATTAACGTCAAGGGTACTTATTAAGCATTCAGAAAATAATATTGATTGCCCACATAATAACAACAAGTATACCTACTATAGTACTATATATGTATTTGATAATATTTTCATTCACCCCAACGTTCCTAACCAAAAAATACAGTAATAACAATCGAATGGTTTGGATAATAAGTACCTACCTAGAAGTATAAGATTTATAATAAATAATAAGCCAATAAAGTTATATGATACATTTATATATTATATATAATATATATGTAGTACAAATATACTAAATTATAATTTATATAAGTTACCTATTTAAATGTTTTTTTCTTTATGAAAATATCTTTCTGAACATTGATTATAATTTATATTGTTTGTATTTTGTTTTAAATTATATAAGTTTAATTAGTACATACATACATGTATATTAATGTAATAATATATATATAGTGTATATTTATACAGTTATGTACTTGGAATTTAGCTACGAAAACCGTTCCAGGATGTGGTGTATTATATAAGTTTATCTGGTCATCCTGATGAATTTTCTGATGGGAAAAGCTTGAATTGTGTGGTTATTGGGTTTGGATTGACTGGAAAAAAACAGATGTCTAACTTGATCGGTTTTATGACCAACTCTAATGTCACGTTCGGTCCTACAGCATGTGAAATGTCCAACCAGTAGGTACTAAATAATTTAGTAATTTAGCAGATCATTTACTTCCGATCACGACTTATAGAACCAACACATTGAAATAGATCGGATATAATGGAAACATGGAAAGAATATTTGTGTTCAAAACCAGACATTCATATGATATGTCCTGGGGACAGCGGTGGTCCGATGATTTGTAATGGTTCCCTATATGGAATAGCCAGTCACGGATATAATTTCAAAGACCGAAACAAGGAAGTCGAATGTGGCAGTGCTGATGTTCAGACTAGACATCTATTCTTGTATACATACAGAAAATGGATAACTGATATTACAAGTATAGGAAACACATTAATACCACACTATAAATTATACATTACTACTGTTATGTTAGTATTATATATTATGAATGTTTAGTAAAATAATGTATATAATAATATAATATAAGTAACGCTATGTCTTATAATCAAAATCAAAATAATTTATTGACAATTGTAATCCACAGAGAATTGTATGAATTAAAACATTTCTTAATATATTTTGTTCCTTCCCGTTACCTACCTTACAACTTTTATCTGGGAACAGAAATTAAGAGTGTTGCGTGTACGTCAATAATTAACAGTTTTCATTACTCATGTACATTATTTAGTATTTACCATAAATATTTTAACCATCAGTATTTATTAACTATTTACAGATTTTTTCAGTCTTGTTAAAATTTTTGTTCGTCGAAAAACAGTTAATCTAATATCTATTGATTGGAAACTTTAATTACGTACCTACTTAGTACTTATATATTTTTATATATACATATATATATATAATTAAAAGCGCACTCTCTCGGAATAAATAATTCTGTTTACAGATAATTAGTTTAACAATATAGTACAAGAGATCGCTGATAGTATACTTGTAGACTGCAGTTATTAATTTGTAAAAGTTTCTTACTTTCTTAGCTTATAACTTTTCAAAATTTCACACATTTTGTAATTTATACATACCTATGTAAAACTAACACTATTAACTTCGATTTAATTAACTCATTGAAACAAAAATCTATATTAAAGTAACCCAGTAGCACGCTACTCAATAACTTTCCTCTAGGAGGAAAATTTATAAATCATTAATTCGTTTTTTTAACAAGTAACTGTGACAACGAAAACCTAACAAATATTGGCCCCGCCGTCAAAAGAAACATCTTGTAACCAGCGCCAAGGCGGCAAGGCAGTTTTATATAAATAAATAAATCGAGTACCTATAATAATATATTATTATACAATAATAATTATTAACGTTATGATGAATGACGATATTCGATATAACAGCCGTCATATTATGAATCCATGTATTTTTAGTTTTGCAGTTTGGAATTCTTTATGGTTAATAGTCAACGTATACTGTCTAGAAAATTTCCTGTGTGTTTCAGAAGATGTACCTATTTGTTGTTTTTTGATTATTACTTTAACATGTTGGGCAATTAAATCCCATTGCCTAGTATGGTCACCTAATTTCCAATATGCATCAAATATTAATTTACGATTAATATAGTTTAGTTTTTCATAACATTTACATGGTGGTCCCATTTTCTTTTCAGTTCACATGCTCTTTTCCTTTGTTTAGGAGAACTTTTGACTTAACATCTATCCAATCGCCTTTTTTTTTTGGAGCGTTTTCTTTTTAATACTTTTTCTGATGATGGTACTGGCACTTTTCTTTTGTGTTTCACTATAGGTCTAGTATTTTCCTAAAAAAAATGTAAATAAATTAGTTTAAATAAAACTGTAGTAATTATATTTAAAATTGTATACATATTTTTAATATTATGATTTATGACTAATTAGTAATTAATACAAATTTAAATAAGTGTTATTTAAATAATTAGCACATTAAGCTTAAAATTATGCAGTTGACAATATTCATAATAATTATGAAGCAACTTAATTATTTTTGTTAAAATATTAAGTTATAATTTAATTTATTTTTACAATTTTGACAATTACTTACTATTTCTGTTACAAGTTATATATTTTTTCAACATCAGACAAAACGCTTGCATTATTATCTTGTAGATCTACAAGTACCTACATATTGAGGATCTTTGTCACTATCATAATTTATATTTGTATCATCTTCACTACAAGAAATAATATCAATATCTCTTAGAAGATCTTAGTCCTATACAAAGTAACAATGTAAAATCATTATAATATTTTTATAATATTCATAATTCATAACACAATATGTATATAACTTAAAATGAAGAAAGTAGGCAGGTTTGGAATATGTCATATACATTATACAGTAATATTATTTAAGTAATTTAAATAAAACTAATGAATAATTATTGTTTTAATAAAAAATCTTACTCTTAGTAGGTATAATTTTATTTAAGTATACATTTTTATTAAAACAATAATATGTTTTATATTGGGTATTTACAATGTACTATGTTTACAAATTTAAACAATACATTTTGTATACTTGAGTATAATCAAATATTATGGAAATTGAAAAATTAAAAATATTAAAGTTATTATCTAATTTGTGAAAAATCTGTAATTTTATTTATTTATTTATTGCATTTTTACCTTGTCTTTGATTACTCAGATTACTGTACAATTTTCAATATGAGCATCAACAGCATTATGATACTCTTCATCACTGCTTATCATGCCATACACATAGCAATTTAAAATGCTCTCTGAGTCACTACTTAAATCCTGTAGAAAATTGTATTTCCACAACATTTTGTTTATTTTGTATCCATATAATGAACTGGAATTAAAATTAAGTTGGTAAGTATATTCAAGACTTGTGCGGTAATAATATTTGTATGTTTTAGTTCATTTTGTTTTAATTACTTTGTATTCAAGTATATTAAGTTAATAATGTATATCTACTATAATGTATAGTCGTTTAAAAGTCTACGGATTTTCATCAAAATAAATGAACATAAAAATAGTAATCTGGCATCTGATTTTGAATTTATATGTGACTGTGTGTTGTATGTAAGTTATATCTTATAACATATATGCATATTTAGGTGGATATATTTTATTTCTTATTTTTTGGGATTTTTTTTTTT